TGTCGGATCTGGTGATTGGGTCCTCTCATCCCTAGTCGCCGTTTTGAACGGGGAGTATAGAAGGTATTATCTCCGTCCTTTTCGCGTGCCTTCGTAGTGTAACTGGAAGTAAGCGTGACGCGTATTCGGGTGGTTCGGTTTTCAAATCCTGACAAGAACATTGCGGATTTCTTCAATTTCATGACTTTACACAGTCACTTTCTTCATATTGTTCCTTTGAAATGAATCCGTGTTTATTGCTTTTAAATCACTTAGTCCGTTAATTAATAACAGAATAAATTTGAAAAAAAAATAAGTATCTTACGCTTTGCCAAATGTTAACAAATTGGTTCGTTGAAGCAAAACGTGCCGTGGTACTTTAGCATACGAGTTTAATTTGGTCTGTGATTGAGCTCATAAGCCGATCTACTCGTATCCTAAAACAAGTTTGCATTTGAAATACATTTAAATGGATCCAGTTTGCCGAATAACAGCCTCAGTATCTTTGTTAATATGTTTCTAAATAAAAATTAATGCACTTAATGTATTTTAAAGAATAGTAATAAAACGTTATGAAGCATAATACAAACATATAAAAAAGGAAATGTAAAAAAAATGAACAACAGAATACTGGGAAATGTACTCTTCGGTTTCTATCAGTGCAGTAAATGTTTTCAAGGAACTGCTGCACTGTATTCATATCTGAGCTCACTGCTTTACGATATTTGACAATAGAGGAAATTTCAGCTCGCCTTTTAAACTTTTAAAGCCTTCCATATTTTATCTTGAATATCGCTTCAGATTCATTGTTTAAGAGATTTAAGAGAAAGACAGAATCATCTTCAGCAAATCAGTGTGTGATCGCCTCGATTATGGTATTTCTTTTGAGCTACTTCTCTTTAACCACACAAACAGCAGCTTCTCGAGCTTTTCATTTACAGAAGCCTGCTGTTTGGATGTTGTTGTAATCCCCTTGGCTGACGTATATATCCTTTACTGCCTCCTTTTACTTCAATATCGTATATATCGTAGAAGTGCTAATTCTCTAACTATTTGGCCAGGTTCACTACACGCACACATTGCTCATTTTTATCAATGATTTCATGCTTTAATTCTGGAGACATCCTCCAGTTCTTCGCATTAGTTATTTATTAAGACTCATTGCCATACAAATTTCATAGTAATTATGTCAAAGCAATTGGTCAGTGACAAACATGTGAAGAATGCGACAAGGAGAACATGAAATATTATGGAGATACGTACTAACGAGCGAGCTACATGAACTACATGAACAAGGCGTGGCAATATTGACGGACATGAACATTATTGACGGACTACTGACTACATAAGCTAAAAGAACTCACAGCCTGTTTGCATTATTTGCAGAGAAACTCTCACTTAGACTCGTGTTCCGAAAATCTTGTATCCAGATACACTAGTACCTAAAAGTATCATTGTATTTTATATTGGGCAGTGACAATACATTTCTTTAAAATCGCTGATATTTTCATTAAATTTGAAAGACAATTTTACGTTTTGCCGAGTGGCAATACAACACTTTTACATTGACGTTCCTGATTAGATATGAAGTACATTAAACTTTGCTGAGTGGCAACATAAAGCTTTTACATCGTTGAGTTTTTATTCAAAAACTACTTAAACTCTTACAAAATCTGAAATAAGTTTTTAAAAAAAATTCTAAAATTCAAATTTTAGGCTTCGAAGGTTCGAGTTCGAACGGACAGTTAAGGGTGTTCAAAAATTTGTTGATTCTAGGCGCCACCGTTTTCTTTCCTACAGTGCCATCAAATTCGAAAGACAAAATATATTGAATTTTGCTTAGTGGCAGTACTCTTCTTTTATACCTTTCGGATTGGAATGGGGCAATATCCAGAGTGCTTGTGCAAGGAAAACTATCCCTGTTGAATAAGTTTTTTTTTTTTTTTTTTTTCAAATTTTTTTTTTTAGTTTAAAAAGTGTTCATTATGATAGTCTATTAAAAAATTAGCAGTTTCACAGAGTTTACATTTTTATAGTAGATATAAATAATAAAGGCAAGTATGACAACTAAATGATTGCAAAACTTAGTCATATTTTCATTACAGTTCTTCCTGGGATATTTTATATTACGAGTATCATATATATCATAATCATAATCGTCAATACTTCATTTATTAATTAACGAAGAGTTTTCAAGCAATTGCTTGGCTAGCATATAGTATATACTTGTAACTGCACAAAAGTAATGTGTGGGTCCATTGAGTATGACAGCGTTAGCGAGAATCACCCCGAGATACGGGTCTTGCCTAGCCAAAGAAAGTAATCCCATAAAGTTCCAAGTTCCAGTTTATTTTTATTCTCTTTGTAAATAGGATATCCATTGTTTTTTCAATATTTATTTATATTTTCCGCTAGAAGAAGAGAAGTCTGAAGAGCGTGTATGTGATTTTATATATGTTGTATTACTGTCCTCAGGAAAGCAGTTTGGGCAAGGATAGCTGTATCATCTACGAACATTGCTAGTGTAGTGCTTTGTGTTTGTGGAATGTTATTCACATAAACGCTAAATAACGGGAGCTCGTAGAGAGACGCTTGTGAAACACTGACTAGAATGGTACAGCATGTAGAATGAATATTAGGAATGCACACGACAAAGCGTTTATCAGTTAGGTAGAATTTAATAATGCTTTTAATGCATATATCATAATCTAGATATATATACACTCATGCACGATGTATACATATTTGGGAAACTCAACCCAGGTTTGTATATCTTGTATATGAGTGCATCCAACAGACATGATCAAATCTTTGCCTATGTTTAGTAAAAGTTCGCCAATAATTTTCTTGTTTTGCATTTCACTTGAGACATACTTCACAATTCTGCACATTGCACAAATCTGGCATCGGAAACCAAACTATTTAGGAATGGAAATAATGTTTTCGTCCATGAAGGAAAGAATTCTATTCAGTGTCACAGCTTCCACGATCTTGCTTACCGAAGGTAAGAGACTAACTGGCTGAGAGGATTCTGACAACGATTGTGGCTTGTTTAGTTTTAGTATTGGGGTACCATTGCAGTCTTCCAGATGTTTGCAAATTGACGCAATAATAATGTTTACGGTGTTGGTTGTATTGAAAATCGACTTTAGTGGAAGAGTTTTGAGCATCTTACTGTTGATTCTATCGATCCCAAGGTATTTCTTGGTTCGAAGATTCCTAAATTATAGCGAAATATCTCTTATACTGAGCCTGGAGTAATGTCGGCTGTCGCTGGGACTGTGGCGCAAGGTGAGGTGATAGTGAAACTGCGTGTTCTGTTGTTGTATTATAATACTGTTGGTGAAAAATTGAAATTCCAGATGTGCTAAATTGTTTGGTTTCTCTGTTTTGGTGTAGTAGATTTTTTGGGGCTTTTAATGGCGGAATGCGAGTTGTTGCATTTCTTATATCGAGAGAGAGCTCTCCGTAAAGAGTTGTCATCAACTGTGAGGGAGCTCTGCAGTTAACAGAGAGTTTCTAATTAATATGAATATTTTACGCTTTGCAGACTGGCAACAAAAAGGTTTTAGTCAAAAGTTCTTTAAATTCGCACAAAATTTGAAATAAATAAAAATACATTCCAAAATATCTCTTGAATGACTATGGATAGATCCATGGTCTCAGTCTAAAAAATAAATCATGTAAGACAATTTTAAGACTGCGATAAGTTTGATCGCATGATACCCTTTTGTAAAAATGCATGAAAATAAATTTTTATACGAATATTTCCCATAGCCGAATCACTCGAACAAAAGACGTCAAATCTCATGAAATCAGGTTTGCAGGAGGTAGCCTTAAATTTTACGACCGTATGTGTAAATATTGCTAAAAATAACTGCGTTAAATTTTTAAACGTAAATTTCTAATTACGTATTTACGACAGAAGCGCGAGTGTTAAGTCGACATTCGAAGAAACTCTAGAAACTGAAAGTTTTGGGTTACGTCTAAAAAATCACCTTTTTTTCCCATTTCTTTCTCTTTTTTTCAGATAAAAGTGTATAAGGTATTTCTCCCACTTCCTTAGCGTGCCTTCGTGGTGTAACGGTAGCACGCTGGGCCGGTATTTCAGAGGTCCGTGGTTCGATTCCCGGCGAAGGCGGTTGCATAATTTTTTCATTTTTTCTGCTTTCCAATTATACCTAATGACTCTACAAATGGCGCCCGAACTAAAAGGGTTGTGGATGATGATTCTCCGCACCCCAGGATTTGGCGACTAGGTCCCCTAAAACCCTAGCCGCCCTTTAAAAAGGGAAGTATATAAGGTATTTCTCCCACTTTCCTAGCATGCCTTCGTGGTGTAACGGTAGCACGCTGGGCCGGTATTCCAGAGGTCCGTGGTTCGATTCCCGGCGAAGGCGGTCGCATATTTTTCATCTTTTTCATCCAATTAACCTAATGACTCTACAAGTGGTTCAAATCATGTTACTCTGAACAATTTTCTTCAAGGTCAGTTTTTCATGCTAGTGTAGCATTTTGACTTCTAAAAGATTTTTAGTATGATAAGAAAACAGTTTATTGATTGAAACTTTCTTTTTTAAGCATAAAAGCTCAAACTTCGTGTGTTTTTTGTCACGTAACTAAGTGTTACGTGATTAAAATTATCGAAGTCTGCAACGTCATTTGATTAATTTTTTATTTTTCTTCTTTAAAATATTCATTGGCCAACAGGAAATTGCTCAGAAGATACTCAATTCAGCAATCTTTTTTGAAAAATTCTATGAAATGCGTAACTTCTAAAGGACTGGATATGCTTAGTTTGGATTATTTAGAATGCATTCATGTACCGATAGCTATAGTATTTCTGATTTGATTCGCATGCACTATCTGAAGAAAAGATATAAGTTCTTACACTTGTGAATTCAACAGTCATTGAGAAGTTTTGTAAAATAAGTTTTTTTTTAAGTTGTTTGGGTATGTATTTAAAATGTGTTTCATCAATTAACAAAATTAATGTGTTTTTCAAAGAGGTCTATAAAACACAGATCTGACAAATAATTTAATTTTTCTTAACAATAATAAATCTTTTTCATAATTTTCACAAGTGATTACAATTCATTCATACCTCACAACTCAGTAAAACAATGTCATACAGTTCATACATCTCTATTACGTTTCACACATTGCTTATATTTACATACTTTATGTTGGCAAAATATATCGTAAATTATTTTAATTCTTAGCATTCTTTTCAAAAAGTGAGTAGAGCAAGTCAGTATTAAGATGTCAACCTGTTTACAATCCTTTCAGTATCTACGTTAAACTTTTATTTTACGCCAACAGCTGTTTAAGTTCGAACTCTTGTATTCTTCTTTGGTGGTCGACTCTTCTTTGAAACTCTTCTTTGGTGGTCAACTTTTCTTTGAAACTCTTTTTTTGGTGGTCAACTGAATTCAAAAGTTCATTTCATTCGAATTGTGCGTTGCATACGTGTAGTCCATAATATGTATTTCAGTCGGGATTTCAAGATATGTCTCCTCAACTATTAGGTGGATTCCATAGTTTCTGTAATCCAGTCTAGATGCGACGAGACATGAGTGTAAACACCTGGCAGTAGAGGGCGCGCACATCCAATCCCTGCAGACACTACTCCAATTACGATGAAACGACCTTCTCTTCGAACAACAAGAGGTCCTCCGGAATCTCCCTAAAAACAAAATTCCAGCATAAATATTAACTACGAAAGATGCAGTGTCACAATCTTTGATATTTTATGCTTTATTCTTAACAGAACATAAATTATTCATATTAAATTATTTCTTCATTTTATAAAATATGCGAAAAACAATATATTATGATAAATTTAGAAGAAATGTAAATTATCTTGCAAGTGATAAGGTGTCCTATTGCAATCGATTTTGTTTTGGATTATATGCTATATAGTCAAACAGTCAATTAATCAGACGAAATAAGTGTAGGGTGAGGGGCTAGACGCTTATAATAAATGTAGTGTTTTATTATGGTGTACTGTAAAGGAAACAATGAACAATACAATAAACTTCATTTTTTCATTTCTTTTTTAAATCAATCACATGACCTAGCTTACGGCGTTTGTCAAGATGAATGTCAAGATGGCGTCGAAATGGCGTTGGCAATAGCAAGATGGCAGTAACAAGTTACAATTGCAACGGGGGTTAACTGTTTCATTCTAGCAATATCGATAATTATTATGGAAGCTTTAATTAATAACTCATCGAAAATAAGGAATGAAGGGAGTCTGAGTGGTATTACTGTGCATCGGTTTTCAGTCTGAAGAACTGATTCTCCAACGCTACTACCTCACTTCCCATACTTTTAACACTGCCAGTAGATGATGCAATCAAACATCTAGCCATATTTCGGAAATACTATGCATAATGCAATTATTTTCTTTGCATGAGAATGAAGAAATTAATGTGAAAACATGTTGTTCGATGTAGAATTTCTTCATACATCACTGCTTATCAGTCATGAATAATAAAAGCATGAGATTGTTAAGTTCTCCTGCTTCGTGTTCTAGTGAGATAGGGATGGTTGCCTCAGGATTTTCATAATTTTAATCTTAAATAAAACATATTCAAGTTAATTTCTTTTAGCAAATCTTCCGCCTCAAAAGTATATATAATTTGCATATTGCAAAGATCTATGTAACTTAAATTTTTCTTTACATAATGAATCTTAAGAGCATTATTCTCAACTTTCATAATGTTTTTCTTTTGCATTTCTAGAAGAGTTATTTCTTTCTTTTTCTAACTACTGATGCCTAAGGTTTAAATAAAAGAATACGAAATTTTTCCACAAATACATTCAGATTATTTACATTACTACGAGGATCACATTAGGTAAATGTGTGTGATAGAAATAATTTTATAACTTTGCATTTTGAAAATTGCATTACTTCATGATTTCTTTCTAGTTTATCTTTTATGTTACGCGTGTTTTCTAATTTATCTTTTATATAAATTACATGATAGCTTTTGAATTAAGATTTGTGTAGAGCCTTAGACACAGCATTCTCTAAGAGACCCTCCTTCAATGCTCATTTTCTTGAGAGAAAAACAGGGTTAAGGAAAATTAAAGAATGGTTTTGGGTCTTTCTAAAATCTAGAGCTTACATGTGTGATTGTGAGCCTAATGACAATCTGTCTTGGCCATAGAAATTTTTAAATTAATTTAAAATCTTACCCATTTAAAACTCTATTGTGCGATTCCTTTAATGGAGCGTTTATACAAAGGATAGTAAATCAGTTCCTGTTTTGAAGGCAAAATGCGAACTTCTAAGTCCTTAGTAAGGATCAGTCTACATGGTCGAAGTAATTTCCTGTAGCCTAACAACCTGGTTACATATAGCGTATATTCCGGCGTATAGCTCGCACCGGTGTGTAACAGGCATTTACAATTTCAAACTACATTTTTTAGTTTTTAGGTATATTCGCCGTATAACGCGCACCCTTTTCTTCATGGGAAACCTGAACGATGCATATGCGGTGCAATCATCTTTTAAAGTCATTTATTCGAAGATTTTTTCCCAGTCGTTTGAACAGTGGTATACTAAATTGACAAAGCGATAAGGGGAACAATAGGCCCATTTTCAAATTTTGCTTACGTATACTGTCCCAGAAGAAAAAAAAGAAAATTCGAGATAAATAATATTTAAAGTTTAATTTGAGAAATGCATTGCATAAAGATGACTATTATATAAAAATATATTTCTATGATTTAAAATATAAAAAATGATTTGAAATCTTTAGATATAATCTTAAAAAATGGGATCGTAGGCAAAAATGTCCGTCCCTTTCAAGTTTTATGTTATTAGACGCTTTGCTTTGTAACCTAATTTGCTTTTTTAAATAAAGAAGTTTAATTATTTTAAATATGAACTATTAATGTGTTATATTATAATAAAAACTAATTACAGAAGTTTTCGTCTTCTGTAACTACAGAATGGATAACAGTGATGGATAAATCAATAAAAAATAATTTGTCTTCCAATTCGTGTCAAGTTCCTTAACTTCGAGATTATTTTACCCACAATTAGTTTGTAAATCTGCCTAAAAGGGGCAATACATATTCAATGACATACATAAACTAGTCAAGCTAAGTTTGACCACTTTGAATACGTACTATCTCCTTTACACAGATTTCCAAACTAACTGGGGATAAAATAATCTGAAGGTAACGGATTTGACATGAAGTGGAAGACAAATTATTTTTATTGATTTGCTAAAAAATTTCAATTGATTTTTTTAATATTTTAAATTGTAGAAATATATTTATAGTAATTTTATGCAATGCATTGCTCAAATTAAACTTTAAATATTAATTTATCTAGGATTTTCTTTCTTCACTAAGAATGCACTTACTGCCCGAATGATATCTCGGAATTAGCAATTAGCTGTTTTCTATTTTTGTAGTCGTTTCTGTAGTCATTTTAAGCCGTAATTTTGAAGTGAGTATCGAAGGCCAGGAAGAAAAAAAGGGAGGCAACAAGGAGCGAAAAGGAAGCCAAATGCGTCATAGTAGTCTAGAATGAGTGAGTGGATAATAAATGACATGGACTGAAATTAAAGCCGACGTAATTCAAAAATCATGAAAAATATCCAACAATCTGAATGGAATGGAAGATGATTATTTATTTGTGGATCATAATAACAGTGATGGAAAGTTAAAACATTATTCGATGATGTGCCTGAAGATGTAACGGAAAACGAATATGGCGAACTTTTTATGTTATGAGATAAGAAATTTTTTTGAGTTCATAAGGAATGCCATTTTTTTAAACATGCAGCATTTAGGTGCATGTAGAAATACAATTTTTGTATACTCAACTTTTCCTTTTTTTAAATGCATCATCTTTATACGAAACATATAACGCATAGAAGTAAATTTCGATCGTATATTCTGTATTAAAAGTACGTGCTATACACCGGATTATACGGTAATTAAGTAACATAAAGTCCAATTTGAGTAATTTTCCGATAACTTCATTCTCTTAATAACTATTTTTACTAGGGCTTATGCCATTTATTTGAATTGTGAATGAATTTTGCACTTTTTTAAATTTAATCAGATCATAAATGCTTCAGTATCATAAATGCTTTTCACGTACTAAATCAGAGTGTACTTTACTGAAATAAGCAAAATGATATTTATAACGTTTTGCTATAACAATGTCAACCTTGTTCCTGTATTATTCTAATTATTGAGCCTATTCCTTAACGTAGGAGCTTAAAAGGAGCGTCTTTTTCCCTTGTTTTAACCAGTGGTTTCTACAATAAAAGCTTTTCTTGTTATAACGCTGAAAGTATCTGCTGAGAACAGATGCTAGCCTATAAGAGGGAAAAAAGTAATTTTCCTCTTCTTAGAATTCTTCAAAACCAATCTTTCTAAAATATCTTTCCCAATTTTGACACTGTTATTTTCTATTTCGTAAGTCTAAAGCGATCGAATTTTCAGCTTTATCTTTCAGTTTAGAAAAGAATCAGAAAAACCTTTATGAGGTGCCCTTCTTCTTTGCTAACATCTTTGCTGATGTCCTCTAATATAAATTCCTTTTTAGTACATTTTATTGAAAAATATTTATTTTAATCTACTTAAATCATTTTTATGCTATTTTTCAATATAATATATGTGATGACTTCCGTATAAATACTTCTTTATACTTGTCTCCAGGCAGATAAAATAAGCTATTTGAGATAATCGATAGAAATAGGACTTAAACACTGGAATATGCATAATAATATAAACACTATATAGAAAAAAATATTCTGCATTTCTTTTAAAATCTATACTGTTAATAAAATATTTATTGAAGATTACAAATAGAAAGTAAAATAAAAGTATCTGATATAGACAACACGTGACTTCCTTGAACGGGCTAGCAAATTATACGTATTTTTTCAGGCTAGCAAACGGGCTAGCAAATTTCTGCACTTCACTTAAATTTACTTCCTCGAATTTCATTAAAGATGTATTTTTCACTCAATTAATCCAGTTCTCACTTCGCAGCATGACAAAAATAAATAAAATTCAAAACAGCTTCATTAAAATTGCAAAATTCAGAAAAACTTAAAACACCAAACACAGTAAAAAGCAGTTAAAGCAACAATTTTTAAAATTAAAATTAGAGTTTGCAGGCAAAATCAAGCAACTAGGCCAGCAGGCAGGAAAGCAAAATTTTCGCTGCACAAAACTGAAAGTTAACGTTTAGTCCCGCTGGACAAAACGATGCTGAAATTGGTGCACCAACTGAATTCAATATTCTACTAAGAGCTTCAAGCATACACAAATGGCGGCTTCGTTAGGCCTACCGCAGCTTAAACTTTTAAATTGTTGATAATTTTATATTCATGCATGCAGATTAATTAAAGGCATAAAAATCTTAATCGGGACATAAGAACAACATTATTCAACCACTTTTAAAGCAAAAAATGCCCAATTTACAAACATATAAAAATAAAATATTGAGCACTGAGTTGGGTAACAAAGAGGATATATATATGTATATATATGTGTGTGTATACGTTTGGTGCAGCCAATTGCAGCGAATAAGGTACGTGCACGTAGATGTTATAGCAGTTTCAAGTGCAAAATTTCTGCGCTTTACGGCTACTTGATTTTGAGCTATGCGAGATATATACATACGTACAGACGTCACGAAAATGTCTTTTCAGAATCCATTTTACAATCCATTAATTCTGTCAGCACGTACAGGTATCACACAAAAACATTGTATAAATGGATTCGAGAGAGGTGAAAATGGGTATTTTCATTGAAATTATGATACCCGAAAATTTTCACGATTACAATTCTTCGTACAAAGAAGTAAAAAGACGAAACGAACATGCTATACACTTCCTCAGATAAGATATGGGAAATGAAAAAAGCTGTTAACTTTTCGGCGGTTGCGAGATAAGCAATTCTGTCTTCCCAAATTGGCGCGATACCTGTCAGTCGTAAATCTGTAACGCGAGCTGTTTCGTTTGCGTCCACTGCAGTGGGCAACTGAAATGCGAGTTGAGCTCTTTCATGATCATCAAAGGGTTAAATGTGAATCCATATTTACGCGCTGCATTTTGTAAAACTATTTCTTAGAAGAAAAGTAATGCAAGAATGCCTCACCTGGCATGAATCTCGTTTTCCATCTCTGTACCCAGCACATATTTGGCCTTCCTGGAATGTGATTCTTTTCTTGGCTTCGTCATAAAGTTCCTGGCACTGGGTACGATTCATGACTTTAACTTCTACTTTTTGAAGTATGGAGGCTCGTTTTCCAGCTATATAAAAATTATACTGGTTTAAAAAAGGAATGGTGAAAGATGAAATATTAATATAAGTTTCACTGAGACCTTTGTACTTTAACTTGCAATATGTAATTACTGATGTGACGTTAAGAATGACGTTCTTAATGCATTTTCTACTCTATTTCTTTTTTACAGTAACGTATGCGTACATATTGTGCAAACACTTACGCTTGTTCTGCGAATATGTGTTTTTTTTTTAAGCCCTAGTAGTATGGAATATGGAATGCATCTGCATCTCCTAAAGATAACCCATCTTTCAAAAGTACATTTGTAGTAGAGGAAACATGGGGCATTAGAAAAATGTTGTTTTAGGCATTTTTGAAGCAAGAGAAGAGAAAAATGGGCAATGCCTTCGCTGGGACTCGAACCTGGACCTCTCGTATACGCGCCGAGTGTGCTCCGTTACAACACAAAGGAAGCAGAAAATACTTTATATACTCCCACTTTTAAAGGACTTCTGCAGATTAGAGGATCCAGTCGCCAAATGCTGGTGGTGACAAATCACCATCCACCACCTTTTTATTTCGGGCTCCACTGTAGGGTCATTAGGTTACTTTAATGTTGGAAACGTGAAAAATGAGCAATGCTTTCGCCGAGACTCGAACCTGGACCTTTCAAATACGAACAGAGTGTGCTGCCGTTACACCAGAAAGGCATGCAGAAAGGAGGGATAAAATATTTTATAACACTTCCATTCATCGTATTTAAAAGCGACCGATTGTTTATGCATAGAGATACGTTCGTTTGCAGATTTTTATGATTATTACATGACATATCCATTACATTGTATAGTGACGTCTCGACTTATACACTGAGTAAGTTCGGATACATCGCCAACATGCTAAATAAAATCCAACATTATTAATACTATTTATGGAAATTAAACCATGAGTACGGCTTATTCAATTTGAAATATGTTTATCGAAAAGCATAATGTTTCAAAATATGCAAACAAAACTATACATTTAAATTATCTTTGGAAGGTGACATGCACGTTTTACTGTCCACTCACAGAAGAAGTTCTTATACGAATACAAATGTTTTGTGTATGTCTCAAAAACGTTTTGTGAAATATAACCACTGAACAAATAGAGTTTAAGAGCGCTATGCCCAAATAACAAAAGGTTTGAAAGGAGAATGGTTGAATTTAGCCGTACAGATGCAGGCTTATTTGATATTTTGATTACAATATAATAAAATTACAATTATAATAGTATTTAGAAATAAATCCAGATTTTTGAATTTATATGAGAGTTATACTGTAGTCGAACACTCTTATAACGAGAGTGAGGGGACCGCGATATTTGCTCGTTATAACCGAGTGCTCGTAAAAAACGGGTTCGTGGAAAAAAATCATAAAATTCATACATACTTACTATACTATAAATACTTTGTAGGGATTTATATTTATTTTAACTAATAATTTAAATTTTAGTTCAGACTTTCCTATAAGCCTTCATTTCCCTAATTGTTAGTGCCAGAATAGTTAAATTTGGTAGCGCGCGTGACGTGAATGCAAATTCTACTTTGAGGAGAAAAAGTTTAAAAACTGAGGTTTTAGAAGGGAAGTGAGAGAGTTGGGCTAGCTGTCGTCTCTGCTGTAGGTACAATTGCTGATTGCTGGTTCAAGTGGCTAAAATGCATTTATCTGCTGCCACTAGTGATAGAGGGGGTCGACGTTCGGTATCTCGCTGAGCCCTGTAGATTATTTTATCAATTGTTAAACATTTCAACTTTTGATTTTCAATTACCTGCTTTTCGGTTACCGCCCAAGTAGAGGCGAAGTTTGTTAGCGTCAAGTTGACGCCGGGTAAATTTTAAAGAGTTAATAAAGGGTTTGAACTCTTCTCTGTGTAGTTTCCTGATACTACTGTATCCAGATAGAGGTTAAATTGCCTGGACACAACAACTTCATTTATTTTTTATATCTGTACAGTACAAAAGAAATTGTTTAATTTGCTTTGAATTGCCTTATTCTCTGTTTGTGTTACTGGTCTTCGGAAAAGACTCATGGTCCAAAAATCATCGTCATTTGCACCCCTATGTTTTCTCTTCTATCAAAAAGTAACAAAAATCGTCAAGTGCTTACGTAAGTTTGATTAAATATTTCTGATGATCCCTTGGTTCATAGGCTAGAAAATGCCGCAGAATTCTGTGGTAAAAATTCAATCCTGATCATTCCCCAAAATAAAAAAAAGACCGCTGTCACGCCTGCACAGGATTTATGGCTCATCTCTAAATTTCAATTGACTTATGAATGATTTCTTTTAATGAATGTTAAAGAAATTTTTCCAAGAGAGGATCAGCTGAGCTGGAGAGGTGGAACTCAATAAAAATTTTACGAGTCACAAAACTATTGCTCGCTATAACGACAAATGTTATATAAAAATATACGCTTTTTTATATAAAATAAAAGCGATTTATGCTCCTATAGACTCCGCAGGTAAATTTCATTCAACGAATAAAAAATTCCATGCCATCATCTGACCATTCCTGACGCGGATTTTGAAATATTAGAATATGTTATTTAATTGGCACGTATGCGATTTAGAAGAATGATTGCTCCTGAGATTTAATAGCTCTACTTCTAAATTCAACTCATCCAGTCTTAAATACTAAAAGTTTTAAAATAGTTTTGCCAGTCATTAACACTGTACTGAGAAAATTACAGTTCCTATATATCATTTTAAAGCAAAAAATTGTAGAGTCACTAAGTTTTTTTTTTTTTTTTTTTTTTTTTTTTTTTGACGCAGGAGACATAAAAAATGAGCAATGCCCTCGCCGGGACTCTAACCTGGAGCTCTCGAATACGCGGAGAATGTGCTACCGTTACATCATGAAGGCATGCTGGAAAATATATGCTCCCCCTCTTAAAGCGCCCTCGGGGATTAAGGGACCCAATCGCCAAATCCTGGTGATGACGAATTATTGTCTTCCATTTTTTAGTTCGAGCGACACTATAGAGTTATTCGTCTTTTTGAAGCAGGAGACATGAAGAAAGAGCAATGCCCTCGCCGGACCTCGAATCTGGACCTCTCGAATACGCGCTGACGCGTTACACTACTAAAGCATGCTGGAAAGAGGAAGAAAATAGCCTATGAAATATCGAAATGAAAGTACAAAAAAAATATAGAAAGCTTGAAATTTAAATGTTCTACGTTCTGTAGTTGGGCGGGGGAGGAAACCTAAGAGTAACAGAGATTTTTAAATCTACTCCTATAAACCAAGTAACGACATAAGGTCAAAGAAATTTTAAGACATGCGTCTAAAATGATGAAAATGCTAGTTCAAATTCTCATATTCTCGATAAGGAAAATGATACTTATCCAAGGTTTTGGTAATTTCTCATATTTCTTTGTGTTACTAACTCAGTTGTCTCTGGTGAAACTAGAGGTCCTAGAGGAGTTGCAGAGCAGTAGTTTAGCTAGCCGTGTTGTCATGAACTGCTGTTCCTTTGATCCAACTTTGTACTTTCTTTTATGATAAATAAACCTGTATACTTCTACTGCGAGTTGGATCCGGAAAAAGTTTGAAATAAGAATAAAAATCTAATTTAAATAATCCATTTGTTAGTGTAACGTTTTACAAGAATTAACCAAATTTTTTAGTTTTTTTTATTAGACTGTTTAGTTTTAGAACTGTTTTTAAATTTTTGATGAATACATAAGCGTCACTTGCGATATGCTCTGAATATCAAATAAAATTTGCTTTCGTGAGTACTTTTTATTGTTTGTGATGTGCAGCTATGCTTGAAAGTTGATGCCAAAACATCCTAAATATTATATAATTACACTCATGTCCATAAATTAAGGATAATGCAAAATCAGGCAAAGGAAGAGTTAGAAGCAAAACAAATTTGACTTATTTGTAAAGCTTATTTATTAAACAAAAGGTAAAGGGCAAAAAAAGATGCTATATGTTTGACATTATTAAAAAAATTAGCGATTTTTTCTACCTGGAGCAAATTAAAAAAAAAAAAAAAAAAAAAAAAAAAAAAAAAAAAAAAAAAAAAACTATTTACAAAAAAACCAATATTACATGGTTGGTATGATTGTTAATACATTGTATGTCTCCCAGACGATGCAATACAGTCCGTACAACGCCTAGGCATGCTGAATATCAAATTATCGATCTGATCTTGGGGGATATTACACCATTCAAAACGCAACGCTCTCCGAAGTTACGGTAGACATGTAGGAGAAGGTTGGCGGGCTGCAACACGTCGGCCAAGCATGTCCCACACGGGCTGTACTGGATTCAAGTCCGGTGACAATGCTGGCCAGTCCATACGGGTGATATCCTCCGATTGAAGGCATTCGCTTACGATGGTTGCACGGTGAGGACGGGCGTTGTCATCCATAAACACAAATTGCGCGCCCATGGCGCCCCGAAACAAACGTACATGTTGTTCTAGAATGACGTCCCGATAGATTTGGCTTGTCATGGTTCCAATTTGAACATGCAGGTCAGTTCTGGAACCCAGAATAATTCCACCCCAAACGAGCATTCCTGCACCACCGTAACGGTGTCGTTCAATGATGTTTCCTTGGTGGTAACGGGTCCCTGGAGTCCGTATGAAAGTCCGGCGAGAATCAGACTGCAAGCTAAACCTGGACTCGTCGGAAAACATCACACAAGCCCACTGTTGCGGTGTCCATAATGCATGCTCTCTACTCCAGGCTAACCGCAGGCGAAAGTGAGTTGCAGTAAGTGGAACGCATCTGACAGGTCTACGAGCATATAGCAATTGCCGTACCAGTGGCTGAAGAGAGCTGACGAGACAGGTCTGAGGCTGTGCTCCACCTGTTTCTTTTGGCAGTAACTGCCAAATACCGGTCCTCATTCGGCGTTAAAATTCTAGGGCGAACTGTGTGTAACGTCTACTCACATTACCATCATCTTGGAATTGCTGCCAAAGCCTGGAGATGACACTCTCTGGGCAATTCCAAGTTCGTCTGATACTTCTAGTTGGGTACGCCCACATTCCAGACGGCCGATAATTCTACCACGTAAAAAATCATCCAAATGCGTCCTTTGTGTTATAGCTAGTCAGTTATTGCACTGAAATGCTTATAAAGCGCCTGCGAACAATTTTACTTTTTTGCCTGTATTCCTTATATATCACTCTCTTACACTCTCGTCAATGTGACGTACCATCGGTGTTATCTGGTTACTTCCTGGAATTTGCATATGATTCTTGAAGATGTGTGTTGTGATTTTACAGGTGATATATTTATTTTAGAGTTCGATTTCCACGTGACTCCGAATTATCCTTAATTTATGGACATGAGTGTATATTGGGTTGTCCGGAAAGTTCGGACCAATTTTGAAGGCAAATTGAAACGCAGGAGTTTTAAATTTTAGTACATATTTATTAAATTACATAGGGGCCATCTGTTTTACAACCCTTCTCAATCTTTCGGGGAATTTGAAAATTCCGTCCTTCGAGAATTTTTCAGGGTGACAAGAGTAGAACATCCGAACCGAGCTCGAACAACTTTTGCCGAGTTATCAAAACACATCGAATCTTGAAAGTTCGCCAAATATTATTGCCAATGCTGGCACCTTTACATGGAATTCGAATCCGCACCCTAGAGCACGGACTAGTAGTCAATCTCCTCTAAGCAATATACCATCCAGAGTGACAAGTAACGAATTGCTGTTTTGAAGATTTTAAATATGGCTGAGAATTCTGCGATTCGGCGTTTTGAATGGTGCCGAAGACATTTCGAAAAAGATAAATAAAATACATTTTGAATGATGCATACATATGTATTTAAATGAACAGATTTGTAAACTTAAATTCAATATATACAACAAAAACAGATTTGGATGTGGTTCAAATAAATATGGCTAAAATATAGTGAAAATATTTTATATTTATATTTATTTTTACTTGCATAAATTAGTGAAGATGCATCACTTAACAACCGATATAAAATAATGGCTATTGGATAAGATGTTCAACATAACATTGTAGAGACATTAGGAATTTTCGGAGGCCGGATTGATGAAAAACAGCAACCGCCTTCGCCGGGAATCGAACCACGGACCTCTGAAATACCGGCCCAGCATGGAGAGCCACTACACCACGAAGGCACGCTAGGAAAGGGGGAGAAATACCTTATAACATTTTGACGTTCTTTTTTTGAAGTGGTATTGCTAACGGTAAAATAAAATTAGATGGCGTTATTATACATTATCTACATTTTTCATACGTATTTTGTCTATTCGTGAATTTTTAGAGTAATATAAAAAACTTAAAATGCTTCTATATAATCTATAAACTCTAATTAAATATACTTCTTACCGTTTTCTTCGTTGTATCCCCAACCCATAACAGTTGCCATGCTTCCGGTAAAGTCTTCATCTTTTTCTGGTAAACAAGATGGCCAAGAATAACTGTTGTAATCAATGGGCTTTTGCAATTTAAGCAATGCAATGTCATGATTGTAACGTCTTGGTTGATATAGTTCCGGGTGAAGGATGATTTTATCCACTGGAATGTCCGCTTCTGTGTGATTTGTTTCTGGCTTGGTGAGATCATATTCCCCAACTCGGACTGTGAAATGTTTTCGGGAGAAGCTTAAATTTGAAAAGTATGTTAATTTTCTTTTTATGCAACAAAACATATACTCACATATGAAATTAAAATACGAATGAGTATAAAGAATAATTTTGGTGATATTAATAATTCACAGTTTTTATTTCTGTAACTCCCTATAAACAATAGTAAAACCTAAATGCATAAAAATGTTTGAAATTTAAACAAGGTTTCATATCCCGGTTAAGACTTTTTTAATCAAATCGCTTGTTTTATTAAATATGCCCAAAATCAACATTCCCTAATTTTCAGTATTTGAATACTCTTGCCATTGTGATGCCCAAGACTAACACTTTCAGTGTTTCACATGTGAATCTGTTTTCTTTTTTCTTTGGGTAAATATTTTGAAAAATTAACTACTAACAGAATTACTTGGAACCAAAATAATGAAAATCTTCTTAGAGTTGATCATTATGATTTCACTGCTAAAAAATGTACTGAAAACGCACTTTTGCGTCTAAGCAACATTGTACAGAGGGGAAAGACGAGAGCTTTGTATGTTGTTTTTATTTTTCTTGATACTGAAAGAGACTTCAGTAATGCATGACGGCCTGCCAATCTTAATTTACTGACGAAAATGAAACTGCTTCATAATGTATTTAATGTTGTTGCTGATTTGCTGAAGGATAGGACTGTTAAGTTTTTTCTATGTGCCATCTCAAAAATTCGTCGACCTCAAAAGGAATGTCCTTAGGGTTCTGTGTTGAAATTGAGCATCGCCACTTTCGTATTAGAAATGAACGTAGTGTTTATATTTCTGAACATCTCTGTATACTTAGCCAGGATAGATTTGTTTTTCCAATTATTTAATAGGCATTGATTCTCTCTTCCCTGAAGGCTCTAAAAAGTACTTTATCATGTAATGGTATTGTTGTTAATATACAGCAGTAATTTGAAGATTTACTGGAGAAGGATATTTCTTCTTCTTCTTCTTTTTTTTTTTTTTTTTTCATTTGTTCGTGAGCATGCAGGAATATATGGAAACGAGAGAATCGATTCACTTGCCAAGATGCAACTAAGAAAACATTAATGTTGATTTAAATATTCCAAAATCGTACTTTAAAAAAATTCAAAGCTAAAATCATTGAACACTGAAATTATGATTATATCGCATCTGAAATTACGAAAAAGCTCTTTCCGACTATCTTTGAAAGACTGAAAGATTAAAATTTATTGCTCAATTTTAGCGTTATGCGATTTTTCTCTGGGCATAGAAATTATAAAAATAGTTTGAATGGTTTAAACCGACATCTTCCAACTTGTGCTACTGTGATTTTGGCGTCCAGCGAAGTGCCTTCTGGTTATTTTTTGATTGCCTCTTGCTTAACTATGCACGAAATTCCAGAAATTACCTGGAATTAATTAGCCACTGAAAAGACATGAATTTGTTTCTCTGCTTCGGCTTATCTTGCTTTTAATGACTTTGTTGACTCTTATTTTAAGTACTGTAAATGACGTACGTCCTCTGTATTTGCCTTTTGGCTTTCTTTCTTTCTTTTTTTTAAATCATATATGTTTGATTTATTATTTAAAATTGATATGTTTTCCTTCACTTGTATTTTGTAAATATTGTGCAATACTTTGTGGTGCACGAGGACAATTGTTTTAAAATTTAATAAAAAATCTGTTTAGTTCACATTAGGCAAAATGCGACTTTATAATGACGTTCGTTTCATGAGAAAACTCTAAGCATTTCGAAGGCCTTGATAGGATATCTTCTTCAAAAAATAAAATCATATTTGAGGTTTTGAAGAAGAAAAACTCGGGACAGTTGATCTTGAGATGTATAGAAGCTTCCTATGAAAAAAAGACTATCTATGGAAAATTTTTAATGTTTATATTTAAAATCGTCCTGCTTCTCATTTACATATATATAATAAAATTTATATAATAATTAAATTTCAGCCACAAGCAGATGTAAAGAATTTTTAGTAATAAGTGCATGCTGTGAATGGAAACGAAACTTTGCCGAGACAGGAACGAAGAGGAAAGGAGACCTTGATGACAATTTGTGAGTTTTGATTCAAATAGGGAACAGATTTAATTGTAGAAAGAACTGAAAAAGACTGAGAAAAGTATGTCGCGCCATGAGCGCACAGCAATATGTGTGCCTGTATGAAAATATGCATTTAAATATTTGTGACCTTTTGCTAATCTTAATTTTAGTATTAAAGAGTAGAAAATGGCGTCACAATTGGGTGAGTTGATGAAGCGTGTCTACATTTTAATCCAAATGACAGCAGAACTGAGCAGACCAACGGCCAGAGAAGCAGATAAACAGGTAAGCAATTTTGATTTCAATCTATATGGCTGTGAATTAGTTAAAAACAGATGAGTAAAGTAATAGCTGTCATTAAACAGAATCTGTTTTGTTTGTAATAATGCATTATCATAAATACTATAATTATGATGATTAATGTTTTTTAATACAAATTTTAAAAATTATTTTAATTCTTCGTAAGTTATGATGTTTCTGCTTATATAATTTATCAGGTACTCTGTGCTAATGCTACTTTCTGTTTGCACTCCCGAATCATATATCGGAATACACAAATGTGTTGTGAAGCCATACGAAGTACATCAAGTACCTTCTAAATCTCCAGATCTTTTCTGATTCTATAATCATTTAATTTTCAGAAAGAAATGAGAAATTGTCTTTTAATTTTCAAGAATATCGATCATGCTTTTAGTGCCAGAAGTCAAAACAGATGCAAAAATTCTAAGCTTTTTTAAAAAGGTGCAAATATAGCTTTCGCTATGGTTTGTGAATATTTTTAATATGCTACTTCAAACGTATTATCACGTTTCTTCTGTATTTGTTATAAATTACGGGTCTGCATAAATATTACTGTGTTTTTCAGAATAATTTTAAAAAAGCGGATACAAAGAAATTTATTTTTGCGGTATTTGAAATAGCGAAATTTATTGCTACTTGAATCCTGTAAATACGCGAATGATATTGCATACATGATAATAAGTACGAAATTATTGAGGTAAATTTGTAAGGTCTAATTATAATTTTTCTAACCAGTTATTTTAACTACTTTTCTGTCAAACCAGGTTTCATTTTCCTGCCAAAATGTAAATTTCCAGTGGGCGCGATATTCAAATTAAGTAGAAAGAAAGAAGTACTTAAGGGAAGGTTTTGGAGGGCGAAATCAGAGCGTGCTCTGACTGCTTGAAGGCCACTTTGCTAACTTAGATTCTCTCAATTAGAATTCTGTGACGTTGAGTTATTCTTGCCATTAAGCTTGTTTACGCCGACTTCAGAACAGCTTCGGGTCAGAATCAGCTCGCGCATACTGTTATACTTCATTAATTTAATTTATCCATTATCTTTAATTTAAACCCAGAATGTTGGCTTCTGTAAACACGAATGAACTGTAAGAACGAGTCTGTGAAACTTTATTGGATTAATAAAAGGGTCATTTACACCCTTTCTTTGTCTCTGTGGTATTTATAAGACAGAGTTTTATCTACCTGTTTTTTAGAGCTCTGATCTAATTGTTCCTAAGATGACCAGATCTTATAAATTTTAATTAATGTAAGTTATTATGATAAAAGCATACGTATATAATAGGCCAAATTTACTAATTATACATGTAGATATGAATAAAGGTATACCTATTTACGCAATGTCCAGCTGTAAGCACCCAAAGCTTTTTCAGGATTACTCCCCCACAATGATGTTGGCCAAACATGCTTCCACCTAGTCTAATTGAAACCTATAATAAATGAACATAGTTAAAGTCAAAATTTATTTTTCTTCTGCATGTGTTTTTCAAATTTATTTTAAGGGATACATATTATAAATATTAAGGCTAATTATTCTTAGACACACTTAGAAAAAGTAACTAAATGTTTTCAAACATGAATATACAAAATCGATAAAAAATGTTTGAACATCGCTTAAAATTCTTGAAATGTTATTGTTTCATTAATCGTTGTTTTGACATAAGTAAATGTTAATGTACCATTTCATTTATCAGTATTCATTCGCTCATGCTCCCTTGGGAGTGAAAATATGCAAAAAAAAAAAAAAAAAAAAAAAAAAAAAAAAAAAACGTAAAATAGTTTTCTATTCACAAAACATTATGAAGTTAAAAATTATGAAAATAGCTTCTGACTAACGCAATTAAAAATGATTCTGTATTCTTTCAGATTCTGTATTGCGCCCAAAGAGACGTTTATTTACATTCATATACATGTTTCGAGAACATTTGGGCTGACGCCCTTTTGGACCAAAAATATTTAAAAACAGCATATCTTTAGAATTTTTGATAGACAGTCTAGCAAAGTCGAGATAAAAAATGATTTAATCCATAAATTGTTGTCCCGGCTCTCTCTTAAATCGTTGAGTTTTTTAAACAAAAATTTATTAAAGTTTCACAAAATAGGAAATAAATAATAAAATAAATTCGAAATTCAAAATTTGGGCTTCCAGATGCCCACGTTCGGGTGGAGGACTGTGCTCTTCAAAATGTGATGGCTCTAGGTATCGTTGTTTTTTTACAGTGCGAGAAACATACATACATACATTCATGCAGAATCTTCATTATTTAATTTCTTTAAATGTAATACAGGGCGATAATATTTGGTGGCAACAATGAGAAAACTGATTCATCGCTTTAGTGATTTGACACAAAATGCCGTTTCGAGATTAATAGCCCTTCTAATAGCGTACGATTTTCTTAATAGCGTATGATTTCTTTTTATAGAACAAAGAACAAAACAAAATTTTGAATTTTGTTTTTCTTGTTTTCTTAGTAGCAAAGTAGGGAAAAGTTTAGTTAGAGCTTGGTTTTGGTGTTGTGAGCGCACGCTGTTAATTCTACCATCTGTTAACTTTGAATATCGGCTTCGCATTCTTGCCGCCGAATTATTATCTCGCCGGTGTAGGTTTCTGACTCAGCCTGCCGTGCTAAATCGAAAAGCGTAATCTTGCATTTGTCTTACCTACATGTTTGGTGCAGCCGATTGCAACCAAAAAGGGAAGTGCACAACTACATGTTATAGCAGACTCATATAGAAAATTTCAACGTTCTAAGGTTATGCGTTTTTGAGTTATGCAAGATACATACATACACGTACGTACATCATGGAAAAAAATTTCTTCTGAATCCGTTTTAAATCCATTTTAGAATCCGTTTTAAGAAAAAGAGTCCTTTATTTTGTCCGTACGTACAAATGTCACGCAAAAACATAGTTTAAATGGATTCCAGGGCTGCCAAAATGGATATTTTCAGTGAAATAGAACACCCGAAAATGTTTTCGATTCCTTTACTTCGTACAATAAAGTAAATAGTGTATAACTGCAAGCGACGCCCCGGATATAGAAACCTGAATTTTAATTTAGGTTTAGTTTTGTTTGACAACTTGGTTTTGTTTGCAAAACTGGAATGTAGAAAAATGTTTCGAATTATAAAGATCTTTTTAAAAGTTAATTTGAATATTCTTCATTTAGTGCTTTCTCCAGCCGCCCAGACGGTATAGAGATTAGGGAAGCCTTACTGCGATACCGAAGGGACCGGGTTCGAATCCCGGAGAAGGCATGAATGCAAAAATTGTCTGTCCATTCATAGGATGCAAAGGTGGCCCACCTATTAGGTGCCTCCATTATAAAGAGACCACCGCATTTGGCATTAGAAGTAGCCGGTGTCGGCACAGACAAGTGTCCGCCATCGAAAAAGAGAAAAACGAGTACTTTTTCCAAGGAGAATGCAATACAAAAAAATTTCGAAACTGTGTAAATAAATTATTACAAATTATTATTGAGTTTTCACCAGATGCACAGATTTCATAATTTTTCATTTAGCATTTTTCATAAAAGGATGTAAAACTAAAATTTCCAAAATCGAGTAAATATTCTCTATTAAAAATTAATATTTTGTGTCTGGTGTAGACACATTGATTCAAAAAAAGAAAATTAAATTTTGTAAAGAAACAAGTGATTTTTATTCAGCATTTTTCCAAAAAGCAAAGAATGCAAGTCTAGTGGCTCGTTAATCATAATTGTCAATAGGTCAGTATGTAAACTTTAGGAAAATAAGATTCTTAGTCAATAAATTCGACCCAAAAAGAAGCCTGTTTTCGTAACCTATTCGGAAATTACATGAAAAGTTCCAAAAACTCGGAATATATGTAAATGCAAGATAAAAAAAAACATAATCTAGTTTAAATGAAAATTATTTAATGACATTATTTATGAAGCACACGCATATTTCCTCTGATTACAAAACAGTCTCTATTTCACAATAAATAATTTCTTTCAATAAATTGCGCAATATTCTTAGTTATATATTTTTGTCGATCTTTGATTTATCGCATCAATCATTTGACTTCCCACTATTGTTTCCTCTTCTTGTCTTTCTTGTTAAATTAATGTTTCTAAATTTCCTTCAGCACTACTGTACTAAATAACTGTTGATTTAGAATTAAAGCAATTTTTATACAGGATACTTGAAAAAGGTAGCTACGGACTATACTCGTATTCACTTCAATAGTGAGTCTAAATATGTGCTAAATATGTACATTAAAATGTAATCGAAAATTTTACGAAAACAATTTTAACAGTGGGGATGGAACTGTTTCTTAAATTAATTATAACTTTTGGTACGAACTCCAATAAGACGAATATTCTGAATGTTTGAAACATTCAGAATAATGAAAAAAGTTCTTAGATTTTAATTAGATAAGTACTAAATAAATCCCATAATTTCATGTGCAAAATTCAGAATGATATTTCAAAACGAAATTACTGACTGAATCATTTTTCCTAAGTTTACTACCGTCGTAAATCAAGAGATCAGTGAAAAATTTAAGAAGGAGCTACAAAATCGAAGTTGTTCATTTTGGAAAATAATGCCTACTATGTAAAACAGAATTCGCAGTTAAAGTTGTGACTTTCTATTTGAAAATATTTATCAGTCGTATATGCAAAGATATGGAACTTCGTGTATTTAACTACTCAAAGCATGACGAATATTTCACAAATTAGAATTTTTACTCTGTGAGAATCATAATAAAAGTTAGATTTTATGTTCGTAGAGTTATTTCCCCTATGGTGTTCAAACTATTTTCATAAAAGTTTCGGTCTTATTTTAAGAAATTTTACGACCGAAAAGATAGATTTAAGATCATCAATATTTAAAGGAATAAGGAGACTGAAATTCTTTTTCGAGCATTTTTATAATACATGTGCTAGAATGACATGCACAGAAATACACAACATCTATCAGTGACAGATTGGATACAATACTGAACACTGGTAGTTCTACTCAGTTCGAACTTCGGTAAATAGGCTGGATGCATGGATGTGTAGAGGCATTAGGTCTTGTTTCTTTGAAGCAGGAGACGTAGAAACGAGCTGTGCCCTCGCCGGAACTCGAGCCCTGTACTTTCTCAAATACGTATCGAGTGTACTTCCAATTACACCACGAAGGCATGCGGTTTAAGAAGAGAGAAAACGCCTTGTATACTCTCCCCTTTTAAAGGGCGACTGGGGATTAGGTGACCCAGCTGCAAATTCTGGTGGTGGCAAACAAGCAGAATTTTGCAAAACTTCATAGAAGCATTGAAGTTTTTTGAAATATCAATCTGAATAGTTGAAACACATTTTTTACTAAGTAATGTTAATTATCCTCAACCATAATATTCACCTCAGTGAGCACAAATTGGCCGCCCGCGAATACGTTTCCCGTTTATTTATTAGCATTATTATGAAATCAAATGATATTGCGATAATTTAATGAAAGTTTTAAGATTTAATGATTTTGAGTTCAATTTTATATTAATTTTGTTACTATTAAAAGCGAACGGAAATAACGCCCTAGAAAATCTTGAAAAAGAGCTAATTAATTGACATTTTTTAATATAAATATTATTGAAATCTTTGAAAATACGTATTTAGTTAATCTTTTCTCTTACTTGGCAAAAGATAAATAACCCGAGTTACGAATTTTTATAATTGCAATAATTGCTTTGTTTTGGAGTACGCTTATATGTGAATGTTTTTTTCGCGCATGCAAATTAATAAGTCTAAAAAACAGACTGATCGAAGAGCATCTGCAGTTCGCGAGGTTTTAGTACTTTTTCTCCACGGTTACAAATTTCTATTAAATTAAAACCACCGAGAAGTATTGCAGTAAGAAATAAAAAAGCTTATGACATTGTAATTAATATTAATTAATATACATATACTTCTTCTGTATGCGTTCAAAAATTAAATAAATACAAGAAGAATAGGTTGTTATTATTTATTCTAAATTTTTTCTACATGGAAATTTTCAAAGTTTATTTTATTTTATTTATTTATTTTTAAAGCTAAAAGTACGTTATTTTAGTGGTTCGGCGGCATGAAAATTGAGTTTGAGGCCAACTACTTACATTATTGTATGATATTTAACTAAATAAATTAAAGCATATGTTTTGAAACTATATTTTATTTTCGGGTTAAAAAAGCAAATTGCCTGGGAAATACGCGATAGAAATTAAGCTTTTTTGATTGATTGCATGGCGAGAATGAAAAAAAATGAAGTGCACAAAATTGCTTAAATTTTTCTTTCATGAATAAGAATTTATTTCAATTGAAGAGAAGTAACTTGAATACGACACAATAATTATTTTATTGCCGACTTACAGAACACGCTGAAAATCCATTTTCCATTTATAATGTGGAAAATAGACATTTGTTCAAAGGGCCAATTTCATTCGTAATCTCTTTCTTCCATGATGACAAACTAAAGCAGTTAGGTAGCAAACTCTTTCTCTGGCACTAAATATTTGAAAGCTTTCAGAAACTCTGTAAAATGCCAGTCACTGTATTATGGATGAATAGCTAGGGAATATGAAAGTTTCCCTTTGAATGTCAAGGTTACGGTCGTTGGTTTTGGGCAGCCACGAATTAACTTCCTCTCTAACTCAAAGGAACGGATGTCACGTAAAAGGTTTAACCGGAACATGCAAGTCGAAATCAATATTTAGTGACCAAGAAGTTCAATACATTTTCTTGAGGATATTTACAGCATGTCGTGTTTACGTTAAGATGGGAACCATGTATATGCTTTTAGTATTCGATCCGTCGAATTCATTCTTCAAAAGCTTTGTTTATATAAATCTAATGTTTGAGCAATGAATTCAAACAATTTTTAATGCTTTTTTTGTGGAGTCATTAGGCTATTTAGAAGCAGGAGATGTGAAAAATGTACATTGCCCTCGCCGGGACTCAAACCCTGGACCTCTCGAATACACGTCGAGTGTGCTTCCAGTTACACCACGAAGGCATGCGAAAAAGAGGGAGAAAGCACCCTTGATACTCTCCCTTTTAAAGGCCGACTGGGTATGAGGGGGACCATTCACCAAATCCTGGTGGTGACGCATTATCGTTCACTACCTTTTGGTTCGGCTGCCACTGTACAGTCATCAGGTTATTTTGAAGCAGGAAACGTGAAAGATACGCAATGTCCTCGCTGGGATTTGAGCCCTGAACCTCTCGAATACGCTTCAAGTAGGCTTCCAATTACAACACGAAGGCACGCGGAAAGGAGAGAGAAAATGCCTTATTGATTGTATATAACACTGACTAAAGTGTAAACTCTCTAAGATATTGAAAAAATCTGATGTGTACACCACATGACTTCCTTGTACGGAATATTAAATTATACGCATTTTTTTCTTGAATTTCATTTAAATTGATTGGATTGAATTAAATCTACTTCGTCGACAGCGCATAAACCACAATAGAGTAAATGCACTCTTTAAAATTCACTATATTTGTTTACTATAACGGCACTCTGAATGCACAAAATTTATATAATTTGAAGAATTATCGTTCACACATGTTCTATTCAAATACTACAATAAAGCTAAAACGATGTATGAAAGAAATTAAGCAAAAAAAAAAAAAAAAAAAAAAAAAAAAAAAAAAAAAAAAACAGTTTTTCACAGACGATTTAGTATTTCTCATTCAATTAATTCAGTTCTCACTTCGCGACAAGACAAAAATACATAAAAACTCAAAATATATGTATTAAAAATTACGAAGTAAATCTTAAATACTTATTTCCTCGAAGAAGAAATTCCAGAAAGGATTTAAGCATGATTTAATTCGCAATAATAATGAAGGCGTATTTTTTGTGTTGCGAAGCTTAGTCTCTCTAGATTGGCAACAAATCTACAATTCTGCTGTTTCAATTGTAAACAAATATGTCCGCCATGTTATTTAAAACTTAACCGCACTTAAACAGCTTTTAAAATGTTGATAATTGTACAAAAATTGCTTTCAGAATTACGAAAGGGATTAAAACTTTAACCGGAAAATAAAAACAACATAATTCAATCATTTTTAAAGCAAAAAATGTATAATTTACAAACATATAAGAGTAAAGAAACTGAGATCACCGAGCCGGATAACAGAGTGGATATATATATAAATATATTTATATACGTTTGGTGCGGACGATTGCAACCAAAATACGAGGTGCACACAACTACATGTTATAGCAGTCCTATATACAAAATTTCAAACGTTCTGAGGCTCTATGGTTTTGGAGTTAGTTATGAGATACGTACGTACGCACGTACGTACATACGTTCGTACAGACGCCACGAAAAATTATCTTCAGAATAAATTTTAAAGCAGTTTTACGATTTTTTTGGAGGAAAAAATCTTTTATTCTGTCCTTACCTACAGATATCACGCAAAAACATCGTTAAATTGCATTCGATAGCGGTCAAAATGGATATTTTCGTTAAAATATGTTGCCTGAAACTTTTCGCGATTACAATACTTCCTTTTTACCTCGTACAAGGAAGTAAAAAAAGAACATTTACTTTACTACATGAGTTGTAAAAAAATGAGCAGTCACAGACTGAAAAAAAAATATTAACCATATGTAATAAATAAAGTATGAAATCATATGTGAATAAATGCATGCAAATTAAGCTTCTGTACCTAGTATGTTCGTTTATTGTTTTTCATTTCCAAGAATCGATCATCTGGGGATTCGGAAAACAGCACTTTGAAATTCTGTAAAATAGCCAAAGAGCTTTTTACCTCTAAGCTTTGTTATAATCTTATATTGGTATTTGAATTATTTTAATATCTTTATTTATTTATCTATGCATTTTATCACTTAAAATTTTACCAAAATGTGCTTTTTAACGAGCAGATTCATATAGTTTTGTTTTTCCAAAAAACACTGAGGATTGAAATTTAGCTGACCTTTCTTTTTGCTTATCGCTATAAATATGCAGTAGTTAAACTTAAAAAGAATGTTTTAGCAGCTACGTTTCTTGGAGAAAAAATTAGAAAATTTCTTAAGTAACAATATATGAAGCTGAAATTAGGAAAATATTTTGTCTAAGATTCTAGATACTAGGCATTAAATCTAAATAATTGAATCTGCAATTAGTTAACGAGCTTCTGTCTGCTATAGGAAGGAATCGTCTTTAGAGAATTTTAAGCAAATGAATAACTGTAAAAGTAAATGAAAGTAACTGAAGTATATACTGAAGGGCATTAACCTACGAATTACACTAGAATGAAAGTAATTATAGCTTAATATTTCAGAGATTTACATGCTCTTATATCAAACACATTTTCAATATTTACATACCGATTTAATAATAAAGTAATATTACTTGCCAGAAAGAAAATGTACACTTTGCACAAAAAAGTGTTACAGTTCTATCTTCCGTTCTACTGGGCCGATTGACGAAATTTAGCTTTCGTTTTCCATGTCTTGAAAGTGAGACTTAGGTTACACATTGGATTAATATACAGCATTTTTCTAACATAGGAATTTCCGGATATGACATTGTAGAGTCTTTTAGTACGTTTTGACTGCAGAACTTACAGAAAAGACTAAGTAGAGAATTCTCGCTAAGTATTAGAAGAACGGATGATTGCAGAAGAAAGTTTAAATAATCTTTTTATTTGAACTAAACTTAACTCGGTGCTCATAATTTACCACCACTTTTCATTATATTTTCGTTGAAATATGGTACCCGGAATTTTTTGTGATAGTAATGCTTCCTTTACATCGTACAAGGAAGTAAAAAAAAGATATTACTAAGTATATATGAAATTCAATTAACCTTGAGGAGCTAAAATTTTGAGAGCTAATTTTTAAAAGTACACGTGCGATTTTTTACAAAACTTAACATTTTGGCATAATTTGAATCGTAGAATCGAAATATGAAAAAAATCGATATGTCATTTCAGAAAATGTTCGATTTTGTGTCAAAATATCTAGGTTAGAAAAATGATATACTATATATATATCTAATATATAGCCTAAGTAGCGCTTTTGAGACATGAAAAATGCAAGTTAAATCGATCAATAGCACGGGAGATAATAACTGTTTTTTTCCTTTTTTTGTGTGTGTGTGTGCAATTACACATTTTATTTTTCTTACGATAATTTTTAGATTATTAAGCGATGGGGATATTTGCATATGACTAATAAGACTTCTAAATTAAATATTAACAGAAAGAAATTTTACGTAATGTTTTTTCATTATAAATAACGCAATTCCGCTGTTTTCCATAAAAATGAGAGAATTAAAATTTTTTGCGAAAGGTTAAGGAGCCAAAAATTTTTTAGAGATTTCGGGAATAGTAAACATTTGGTAAATATTCATGAGTAATATTTCTGAAAAGTGAAAAAAATGATGCTTACCATGAAGGGAAACTCTCCATCATATGCATTTTCACCACCTACTATCCTTCCGTTACGTACAGTCTGCTTGCCGCATTCCAGCCCTTTATATTGAGAAAATTGGACGCAAATATTGATTTCATGCATGAAGATAAGGCAACAATACGGAAAAACTTATTAGAATGATGCTAATTATTATTAAAAAAAAGAATCATAGATAGTAATATATATATATTACTGTCAAAGAACTAAGAATATAAAAAAACTAAGAATATAAAAAAACTAAGAATATAAAAATAATTGCCATTAAATATTACTCTTCTACCCATAAGCATTAAAGGGCAGTGATATCCCGAAGTAATGCAATAGATGGGACAGACAAAAAGCGCAAAAGTACGGGGTCTAATTTTGCGCAAAAACACATGTGAATTTTAGTTAAGTAGGATCAAGAAATGAAAAAATATTTTTTTTTAGAAGAAAAGTATGTGATAAAGAACATAATTTGTATATATGTAATAAAACAATCTCTCATTGTATTGAAGCAACAGACTTGGAAATGATGCTGGTCAATAATGAAGAGCAACTTGGCAGCCAAGGCAGATTAAATCTTCATTTTTATTTCAGTAAACATGTTGCGGCCACAAATATCTTGGCACAATCGTTGTGCCTATTTCAAGATATTTGCATTTTTTTATAGCTTTGCAGTAAAAAGAAATCAGCAAGTGTCAGGCCGAAGTGTAGAAGCAAATGCAGCTGTATTCAGGATGAAATCTTAATTCAGAATGAGTTAGGTTTGGTTCTCAATTGATTGAAAAATTAATACTTCTGTAAAACTATTATTGGCTATTCGTGTTTAGTCCCATTTACGTCACCAGCATTATGTAAGAGTCATATGACATGGATTAGTTTTGAAATGACGCTGTGAAGAAAAAGGTTACTATTTTTAGAATACGGAAGCGATATAGCAAATTAAAAATTAGCATAAAGGGACTATTTAAATACTACTTTAAATTATAATTTATAGTTAAAATTAACACATTTTTTGTCTTACATATTCTATTGCTTCATTATATATATATATGATTAGAAAATAATATTAAAATAAAAATGCTGCAATAAAACTGTTATTTCGATATCGATATCTTCATAAAATTTAATAAATTTGTCTGATGATTCATAGACGTTTTTCGAATGTGAAAGGTTTTCGTAACAAGCTAACAATATTTTTGTTCCTTGCTTTGCAGATAAAAACTTTCCTCACTAGAGTTTACGTTCTCCAAAATTCGTAATCCCTTTTTAATTAAGCCAAGACCTCCTGTTCAATTTGCAATTATCATATCAATTATCATTATTGCTTTTTTGGTGGATCTGGTCTAAAGTGTCGGTTTCTGCAGTAGCTATTTGCTTGCGCATCTTTATATAATATCATCGATTATTAGATTTATGAGTCGAATAACTTTTCTGATGTCATCGTTATCAACTTTAAATATAATTGCCTAGCAAAATTGATAAGTTCTTCTTTTACATGAATAACTTGATCAGTTTCTGGTGCTATTTTTATTTCGCTTTTGGAACGCAGTATACAGCATAATCAAAACCTCAAACCTAAAGGCTCAGGAAAATGCTGTAGATTCTCATGGGTAGGATTCTGCTCTATCCAGATGCTTGTGTTAATATCATACAGATCCTTCTAAATTGGAAGCGAGTTGTTGCTTAGTCTGAAACAATTCATAAAGTCTGAAGAAGTTTGAAATAATTTTTTTTATTTAAATCTAAAACGAATATAAAGGCAAAGCTTGTGCGAGAGATGAACCTCCTCTACGTGAGGGTACTTGTATTTAAATTGACATTACAAAAAGCCCAATGCAAATATAATTAACGTAGTCTGAGATTACACACTTTATAGCCTACTTAAGCTGTCTCAAGGTATTTATTGGCGCGAATTTTAAACGTTGGTTAACAAGACCCTAAAGCCGAAATACAACATCGCCAACTGGCGATAGTAACAGTTTGGTATGTATTAGTTTCGGCACTGGATGGAAAAGCTGAAGATGGAAAGCTTATGAGAAAGTTTTGAAGTATAATCGTTAAAAAGGAGAAATATATTTAAAAGTATCAAATATAGTATGTTCTTTGGCAAATGTACTATTATGTCTGGTCTTTTAGAAAAAGCTGGTAGACTTTGAAACAGTCTACCTTTATTGATTTCGAGGGTGATCAGGCACAATTCCTGTTTTCTATTTTTATGCTAAAATAAAGTTCATTTTCAGCCTAATTTAAAATTTTACAATGGTCCATACATTTATTACATTTGCTTCGCCTCGAATTTAGTTTCAGTGTATCTTGCTCCATTTATGGGAAGTAACCAAATGAAGTCTGCACTCTGGATTATAATGTTTTTAAAACTTCATGGCAAATGGTCCTCTGCCTTCAAATTGCGCCTATATAACTTTTAACGATTATTAAGTAATGTATTTCAACAACCATTTCTTTAAGCTTCATCTATTATTATATATTTGAAAATTACAGTACAGTATTGCAAAGTAAAATGCATCCTCATGAATAAACTTAGATGATGCGTTTGATTTCAAATTAGTTCTCGCTATGGAAGAATGACCTTGTTTGCTTGTTGCATGGGAAGAAAGAGAACATAGTGTCTTTTCAAACATAGGCTATAATGCATGGGCAAAATTTGTAAACTTAGGGGCTTCGATTTCTGCGTGGGCATTCAAATGGAGCGAAGTACGCCATTTATACTTTGAACCATCCATATATTCGTGCTGACATTTGAGGAATGGAAAAATTTTGTCTTCGAAAATTAAAAATATAAATAAATATTATTGACCTTAAACAGATTAAAAATCAGAAAAGTGAATAATAATAAATATTTTAGAAAAATAGTAAAATGCATAAATATTATAGGTTAAACTTTGAGTTTCTTCACTATGTTTTATAATCGCGCACTTCGGTTTCCTGTTATAACATTATAGCCGTCACTTTCAAAGACGTTCACTTCATTACGTTCAATTACGATATGATTTTTGATATTCAGAGTAAGAGTTCTTTAGTAATATGTTAGAAAATTTATGCCTGTTTTGAGTTTTAAATAAGAAAAATGAGAAAAAAGTGTGAAACGGAATAGTAGGTATACTAGTAGTTAATGATAAGTTTCTCAGAAATTCTTGTTATGTTCGACGTTTTAGGGGAAAAAAAAAACATTCAGTTTTCTCTACGAAAAAGTTTATATTATATATTTTAAACATCTAGTGCAATATTTCATCAAGCTGAAATATTTTTAAACACTTTCTTTGGCCTTCTAGGAAAATTTGAAGGTCTTGAAATTTACTCATTTACGAGGTACGTTTTTTAACAAGGAGTTTTACATGTCTTCCTGCACATTTTAAAAACGATTTTGAATTGTCCTCATTTAAGAGAACATTAAAACACTTCGTTTTAAGAAACATGCTATAACTATAAATCATAAATATAAGAAATATAACAGAACTATAAATGAAGGTGAAAATAAATAGTAGCAAGGCATTAAAATCAGAAGCAAACTAACTCACAGCTACCAACTTTACACAGCTGGTTTATCAAATGTTGCTGCTGGAGTTTTGCTGCAGTAATTATCACTGATTTCATCAAACAAAAGCTATTTTTGGAGCAAAAACCATTTTCCACAAAAAATGTGTATGACAGCAGAAAACCCAAAATTTTAGATACTATACTATCATAAATATAAAAAGGAGGATATCTGTATTACATTTTAATTACATCGATAAACATCAATCACAGCATGACTTACAAAACTTATGAGCTCTTCGGTTTGTTATAGTAGCACGTTTAAAAATTATCTTTAGGAAAAAACATAATTACAGTATTATGAACTGTATAAAATCTTGTTAATTTCATAATGAATATAAACGTTCCAAAGTTTAGTTTAAAGTAAATTTATAGCAATAAAAGAATCTGGAGCATTTCAGACGTTAACGGTCGCCCAAAAGGGATTTTTAAGGTTTTATGCGCTATGGCTGAGCTCGCAGTCTACCACTCTGCTGTTAAACTCACTCTTACTAACCGAAATTTTTTTTGTCTTTTTAGCTTTATTATTAAGTATCATTTTTTTCATCACTTTTCAACAGCAAAATTACAAAAGTTTTAAAAGCAGCATAGGAATATACCTTTAGAATTCTCGATTGATCGTGAAGTGTTGATAGATATTTTCCGTTTTTTTCAGTCTTTTCTCACTTCATCATATCAATTTTCAGGTTTCTTAGTAAGATGGCTTGCAAAACTTTTCTTTTCTGTCAGTCCAAAGGGACAATTTTCTCTGAAGGACTATTAATTTCGTTTTGACATTTTGCTTTGGTTCACTATAAAGGTCGGTTCACTTTTCAAATTGTTGCCACCAAATATTATCGCCCTGCATTATATTTAAAGAAATTAAATAATGAATAATCTCCATAAATGTATGTATTTTTCTCGCATTAGGATAAAACAATGGTACCTAGAACCATCAAATTTTAAATAACGTAGTCTTCTACCGAATAATCTGAAATTTGTTTTATTATCGATTTCCTATTTTGTAACCACTTTAACGAATTTTTGATTAACAAACTCAGCGAATTCAAAGCGAGCAATGGCAACACTGTACGAAAAAAAAAACTTTTCATCTCCAGCGTGCGAGATTGTGTATCGGAAATTTTAAAGCTTTTCTAATTTTAAAAGTATTTTGCGATTAGCTGTCGAATTGAATTTTATGGTTTTATTGCAAAGAACATGATATTTACATAAAATACGATTAAACAGAAAAATCACAAAATATTTAAAAAGGGCATATCTTTAGGACTTTTGATAGACAGACTCGCGCGCTGGAGATAAAAAATGTTTTATTCCGTACAGTGTTGCTACTGCTCGCTTTGAAAGCGTAGCGTTTGCTAATCATACATTTGTTAAAAATTTTGTAAAATATGAAACAGATGAAAGACTTTTTTCAGGCTTTTCTCAGTTCATCATATCATTGTTCAGTTTTCTTAGTAAGATGGCTTAACGTTTAGTGTGTTTACTTTATTTACTGAATATCCCGATCTTGGCGCTCATGCTACATGAAATTCGATTCAGCAGCAAAATCACAAAATATTTAAAAATAGCATATTTTTAGAGTCTCGCGCGTTGGAGATAAAAATATTTTATTCCGTACCGTTTTGCCACTGATCGTTTTGAATCGTTGATTGTGTTAATCAAAATTCATTAAAGTTTCCAAAACATGAAGTAGATAATAAAAGGAAGACGGAATTCAAAATTCGGGCTTCCAGGTATTCATGTTCAGGTGGAGTAGAGTACGTTATCAGTAAACAGTACGTTATTCAAAATTTGATAGCTCTAGATACCATTGTTTTTCCACAGTGCGAGGAACATGCATGCATTCATGTAGATTCTTCATTATTTAATTTCTTTTTAATAAAAAGCGTTAACATAATAAATAACCAACTATAGTGATTCATCGCAAAATGTCGTTTGGAGACTAATATCCCATTCGGGACTAACGTTCCTTTAGAACTAAAAATTAACTAATTAAAATAAAATTAAAAATAATGCTTATATGTAAATTTAAGAACATGGACCAGATTAGATATTTAACTGTTATAATAATTATATGTAAGAAAACTAATATTATTGATCTCATTTCCGTGTCGTCGTTCTATCCGTTACTGATCTCATTTCCGCGTCTAGGCAAGATATCTTCAGATTTAAATTTCGATTGCTTATTTTCGATAACAATAATTTTACAATTATAAAAGAGATAAATACCCATTTAATTTGACAATAAAATGAATAGTTAATTAATAAAAATGTTATCTAAATATTCGAAATTATGATTCATCTAAGATATAATCTTATATACAGCGGATGTAAAAAAATGTCATATATTTGACATTCGAAAAAGATAAACATTGAGAAATTAACAAAATAAGCTATAATTAATGACAAATAAACTGTAATTAAAGGTTGCTAATTTCAAAGAATAAATTTTTACTCGAGGTGATTGCTAATGAAAGAAAAAATATTTCATATATTTCATTAATATATATTATTCACAAAATTAATTTTTCAAGTGAATTATTTGCAATGTGTAACTAACTGTTCGTTATTGACTGAAAGTTTCTTCTAATGTCTTATAAGCAAAAAATAATTCTTTACCTTTTATATTTACAAATAAATATTGGTTGATATAACGCTAAACGATTTCTCATAACTGGGTGAATTTAAGACAAAAGCAATGTGAAAGAACGGGCTTGAATAGTTGTGCCAATAGACTCACCTGCTGGTGCTGCATCTGTCGTCATCCATAACAACAACTCCACTGCAGCAACGGAAATCCAGTGAAAACCCATGTCAAACCACCAGCCAGATGAAGAGTTTCCCAAACATAACAAATCGACGCGAAAGGGAGAGTTTTATATATTTCCGACCACCTATGTCCAAGGATGTGACCCAGTGACCCCTGAAGAGTTCGGGGTGCGCCGAAAGATGCGGGAGAGGACGACGCCCTTGACATAGTACCCACCTGTCGAAGACCTTGTTCGTTGGTTAGTATCGAAAGCGTGATTTATTCCACCGCTTTTATTTTTGTTTAATTGCGTTGAAGATATCAGCGGATATCCGAAGGTTTGGATTTTACGGCATTTGTGTCAATGCCAATGAGAGGGAGAAAGCGACTTTTGAAACGAATAAAGTGATAAAATTTGCAGTGGTATCTTAATACTCTAGAAAATGCAAGAGATAAAATATTAATCTTAAGAAATGGTACTCAGTTGCAAAAAAAAAAAAGTTGTTTTTTCATGAGGTGATGCAGATTTAATACAGAAATATAATGACTAAGCGAAGGGCAGATTTTGTTTTGAGATAAGAAAGATAGTTTCATGTTATGTTATACTCATTTCCTTATATTTCTGTTGATTAAATAAGTTTCATAGCTTTATTATTTAGAAATACCAAATGCATAAAATAACTAACTGATTAAACTTAATACTTGTGAAATTTATTTCTTCTTGCAAAGGTGTTTCTTCCGATTTTTAGCCCAAAAGGGACGTTAGTATCGAATCTATAGCGATATTTTCTGTGGCTTAGCTGATTGCCAGTTAGGGTAAATACTGGCAGCCTTTGTAACATAAAATCTTTAATTTCGAAATAATAATATATTTTTAGCCCAAAAGATAGAATCATTAATAAGATAGAATCACTAATACATGTTTCTCACACTGTAAAAAAAACAATGATGCCTAGAGCCATCAAATTTTAAATCAACGCAGTTCTCCTCTCGAAAATATGAACCGGAAAACCCGAATTTTGAATTACAAATTTATTATCTATTTCATATTTTGTAAAACTTTTAACGAATTTTTCATTAACAAATTCAACTAATTCTAAGCGAGCTGTGGGAACACAGTACGAAGTAAAACATTTTCATCTTCAGCGCGCTAGAATGTCTGTCAGAAATTCTAAAGATTCGCAGGTTTAAAATATTATTTTGTGATTTTGATTCGTGCTGTTGAATAGAATTTTATGTGGAGTAAGTTCCGAGAACGGTATATTTAATAAATGATGTAAATAGACAAAAACATTAATAATAAAAAGACAACAGGTTTTGCAACCATCTTACTAAGAAAACAATATTGATATGATAAAGTGTGGGGAAAAAAAAGAACAGGAAATTAGATGCCAACACTGAACGCTGCGTCGGGAATCTAAACATATAGTGCTTTGCTGATTTTAAAATGTTCGAAATATTGCTGTTGAATTGCATATGGATTGACTGCGAAGAATATTTTGCTTAATAATAAAGCTAAAAAGACAAAATCAAATGCTTTAGTAGGAGTGAAAGAAACAGCAAACTAGTAGACTGCGAGCTCAGCGAAAGCGTAGCTGGTGCGAAAGTTTTCGAAAAGGATTTTTATAAAAAGGTTTCTAGATTTGTTTCAACAATTATAGTAAGGAAGACAAAAGCATCTCTTTTGCTGTCTTTACCTGAGTAGATTTATAAAATATTTGATTTTAACTCTTGAATTATTTCTTCACATGATTGTCTTTAGGTGATTTTGTATGATTTATGTAATTAACCCATTATCTTGTTAGTTTAGGTTTGCTGGCATCTCTGCTTTTCGTAAGTCTTTACCAGACTGCGAGTTAGACACTTATATAAGAACAGTTCTTGAATATTTGAGAAAGGGATTTGGCAGCGACGCTGATCGTTGTGGCGTATCATCGCTTAGCTATGAGAATTCCTGTAGACCACTGCTAGCTGAATTGCGTATGCAAATTAGATTAGGTTGAACGAATGCTAAATGGAATTTTGCACTTTTGAACGTCTAGAATTAAATTACGGTTCTTCCTTATTATAGCGGCCCCCACCTTATTCGGCGACCTTATGAATGCGCCATGATCGCAGCTATGATTTCACGAGTCGCGTATGTAAAACTATTTGACACAATCTATAATAAAAACAATAATACTCCCTTGTTGTTTCCTAAGAATAGTTTTAGCTATCGTTATGACAAGGCCATATTTCTGAAATTGTTTTCAACAATTAATTAAAAACATCATTTTTTTCTAAATATATTATCCACAGAAATTCCAAAAAATATGATTCGAGGCGAAGTCGAACTGTTCGTTGTTTTTTTATTACGCCACTTAGTTAAAACTGGAAGAGGATTTAAAGACGAGGGGGCATTATGCTCCTTGTTAATCTCAATAGGCACCAAAATAGTTAAATAAGTGACAGTTTAATATAACAAATAAATTTCTGCGTTTGCTGTCAGATTTGTTTTAACCTCGTGTTATGACAAAAATCAACGGCATTAGCAGAATGCACTGATCTTTGTATAAAAGATGTATTTTCTTCGCAAAGGTGACTTAAATAGCACTAAAATTATCAGATACTGTAAGGATTTATTTAGTTTTAATAACCAGTTATTTTATGCCTTTGCTATCTTTCTCGTTTTCCATTTTTCTGCCAAAATGCAAATTTCTAGTTCGGGTTTATTCAAATAAGGTTAAAAAAGAGATAGTATTTAAAGAAAGATTTTAGAAGGTAGAATCAGAGTCTGTTCCGCCTGATGAAGGCCACATTTGCTAACTGATTCTGTTAAAAGCAGTGTTCCTGTAGCGTTGCGTAATTCTCTGTATTAAGTTTGTTACGGCGATTAAGGTCTGAGGTTCAAGACATAGTGATAGGTCTTTAGAGTTCTTGTCTAATTTATGCTACCAAAGAAGACGAAACTCCATAATTTTAAATTATAAATAGAGTTATTGAGACCATGGGAAATATTCTAGGAAATAATTGAAGCTATTTGTTTAGAAGTAACCGTAAAATTTATATGCAGAGCATCTTCAAATAAATCTGAACTATTTAATGTATGCATAATTTGTTTCAAAACAAGAGAATGCATTAAGAGTAGGCAGGATAAACATAGCCTTCGTCAGTGGTTCCCATCCTTTGTTGTGCCTCACACTCCTGTAAATATCTGATTGCAGCTTAAAATAATGGAAAAATTCGATTTCACCCTTCCTACAGAAGTATATAACATGGTTTAAAATTCATCTTTCTAAGATACAAACCACTTTTATCACACATTCTAAAATTCTGTTTAGCTACAGGTTTCCAACCTAAAGTAAGGAGTTCTTAGTGTACACTATCAAAAATAAAAAAAAAAAAATATTTGACATTCTTTTAGAAGCATTATCACATACTTTTTGGTCCTAGTTTTTTTATTTTATGTAATAATCAATAAATATTTTTTTACACAAGCGCCACTGTTATACCGTTCTGTTGTAGAAATATTATTTAAGTAAGAATTGGGGTAGACAGTTATATTCCATCTTTATTAAATTTGATCCTGTTATGAAACTGCATCATGATCTTATGAACGTATCAGAATAAACGAAATGCACGATGCACACTTTGTAATGTACCAGTTATGCAGAAATTTGCAAAAAGATATTGGATATGTATAAAAACTGATTGTTAAAGGATTTGTCCTTTCATATTTGAGATAAAAATAAAGAAACAAAGTCACGACCGAAGAATTCATATTTAGATTATCTTGAGAAAAGAACTGAAGATTCAAGACAAAATGTCCATAAAACAAGTGCGAAGGAAATTTATTTTCACCGTGTTCTTACCTTATATATTATTTTCTGTTTCTTTGGTTGTAGAAATACAAATACAAGAAATTTAATTTTTATTTCATTATGTTTCTATTTCTTCCTTTTTTGTAATTCAGAAAGATTTACATGAAGAAAAGAAAAGAAAATGAGGAAAAATTATATACTCTGAAAGCAAAAGATGTCTTCGTAATCCAAACGAAACAAAAATATTTCTGAGCTTTGAATATAGCAACGCAATAACTTCTCTGCTTTTATATGCTGCTTACACTGAAAAACACTTTACAGGTAACAAAGAAATGGAAAGTAAACTACAAAATACTTGGTTAACTGTGATTGGTAAGGAAATGACTAAATGGTAAAGAAATGACTAAATGGTAAGGAATGGTTAAATTGTAATGGCCTAAATATTAATTAATTAATTTCTTCTGAAATACAGGGTGTCCATCAATGGTGCCCTTAATTTACAAATTAAAAATTTCGAAAACAAAGATTATTAGAGGAATACAACAAGGCGGTACAGTCATTGTCAATACTGTAAGACTGTTAGATAAAAGTTTCAAAATAATAAAAAGCTGCTTTGCAAAAGCTGCCGACAGATGGCTCTATATTTTGACGCCTGGTGACTTTGGATTTTGAATGGAAACATGTCTATGTTGTTTCTCAATATTTTCTGCGTGCCGGAACGCTTCAAACCAGTCTCTGCTGCAGTTCTTCGGCCGGATTACTTTGAACTGTGCGGAATAATTCCAGAAACAGTTGACACATTTTCAGGAGTAACTACAGTTAGCCTGCGATCAAAGATCCCTACCAGATCATCGGCCAAATTGCTTGTTCTTTGGACATTTAGCGAAGAGCTTGTGAATGATTTTCCCATCGAGTCCTTTGGGAACATTCAGTCGTGTTTAAAAACTACGCCTTGTTGCCACAGGACTGTGGTCTAACCTCTGGTATTTCAGTACCAGAAATACATGTTGTTCATTGGAATTCACAATTTCAACCTCTTCCTTCCATACGCTAACCTTCTTACAAGTTTCAAGGGTGGAACTGATCTTTCTTAGTCGAAGTACGGATGAATGCTGCGATTATCATGCAAAGCTGCACAACGTATTAAGGCTGTCTTAAAATGGTTGCCTGTAGGGGCGCTTGACATAATGACACAGAGGCTGGGTCGGGATACACACAATAGCAGGTACTGGTATCGTTTTTATACTTTGATACTTGCATTTACATTGGCGTCAGCGTGAACTGTATTACTCTATTACCAGTACCTCAGATACCTTACTCGTTTAGGGAAACTACACATAAATATTCG